GCTAAAGTGAGTGTTAGGGGAGTAGGGGGCTCCGGGATAGAGGGTGGAGAGCCAGGCTAAAGTGAGTGTTAGGGGAGTGGGGGGCTCCGGGATAGAGGGTGGAGAGCCAGGCTAAAGTGAGTGTTAGGGGAGTAGTGGGCTCCGGGATAGAGGGTTGAGAGCCAGGCTAAAGTGAGTGTTAGGGGAGTAGGGGGCTCCGGGATAGAGGGTGGAGAGCCAGGCTAAAGTGAGTGTTAGGGGAGTAGGGGGCTCCGGGATAGAGGGTGGAGAGGCAGGCTAAAGTGAGTGTTAGGGGAGTGGGGGGCTCCGGGATAGAGGGTGGAGAGCCAGGCTAAAGTGAGTGTTAGGGGAGTAGGGGGCTCCGGGATAGAGGGTGGAGAACCAGGCTAAAGGGCTACTTTACCCGGCTGGCCGAGTTGGATGAACCCTCGGTCAGTGCTGTGGGAAGAGCCCGATAGCCTGGTGGGGTGTAGGGAACTCCCAGTACCCTTCTCCTGGGGAGCTTAGTTAAAAACCGTTGTGTTAAACCCTTCCCTTGAGTTAGGCGTAAGCCTTAAATAAACAGTTTGGCGTCAGCCCCTACACGACCGGCTTCAGCGTCCTTTTCTACCACACAACATACATAAGAGACTACCAGTAGACTCACCTTACTTAATAACCAGGCAACAGTGGACAGTATAGACTACCAGTACACTGAGTGCGATCAAGAAGCAGGCTGCAGTGTACATAAGTGGAAGTTTAGTAGTTTAAATTGTTATTGTATTTTTAATAATTTAATAAGTAGTCACATTAAATATTTCATGACATTTGGTCTATGTACGTGACGGTAACGAAAGTAGCAAAGAAAAAGTTAAATTAATGCGTTAAGAAAGTAAATTAATCAAGTACGTTGATGATGTTGTTGCTGCCATGTTGTTTTGTAAATGGGCAGCGAAGGTGAAATGGATAGAGTTAAATTTCGATTTAAAGCTTTCGTGACTGCAGGGATTCATCTTCTTGGTTCTTTCGGTAAAGTCACGTAGAATGGAAATAATTAAAAAATTAAAATAAAACATAATAAAATAATTCTCACGACGTTTCGGCCACAACGCAAGCAGCCGTCCTCAGGTGAAGAACAGGTCTGTCGAGAAGACAGAGTCTGAATGACAACCCCAGGCTTGGAGCGTCTATTTAAGCTGGGTTGGAGGGGGGGAGAGCGTCTTGACAAAATAATTTGTATATCAAGAGGAATTTAGCATATTTATGGGAAATGCAGACTTTAAACCCCCGCCAAACCTCCTACGCATTTCACAAGTAGTACTAATCGCATATCTGCAACTTTGCCCCGCATAGCGGTAGGCACGACGAGTGCGTGCCGCCGGGACATATTGTCCCATCTCATCAGCAGGCCCTGCTTAAGCAGCCAGGAGCCAGCTCGCTTCTGACCTTCCTCGGGACCCCCCGCCCTGCGACGCAACGCGAGCAGGGAGCTGTCAGCCATCTGGAGCCGGCCCCACTCAACGAGAGACAGTGAGAGTAGCGAGTCCCCGCCCACAGGAGTAACTGGGAACGTCAACCAACGGTGCATTCGCGGCCGCGACCAACTCACCCTCGGGTACAGCACCATGCGGTTTACAGCGCGCCGACCCCATCAAGCACGCACATTCTGGACGAGGCGACAACCGCGACAGGGCATCCGCATTGGTGTGGCGCAACCCCTTACGGTAAGTGGTTGTAAATTGATAGTCCTGAAGGACCTCCAACCACCGTGATAATTGGCCCGAGGGTTGGGCGACCCTCAATGCGTACTGCAGCGCCGCGTGGTCCGTACGGACCGTGAAATGATGGCCATAGAGATAAGGTCTAAATTGCTGTACAAAAAAAATAATAGCCAGCAACTCGCGACGAGTCACGCAGTAGCGCTGTTCCGCTGGCGATAAAACCCTGCTACCATAGGCGACCACCCGTTCGACTCCCCCAACGACCTGTGAGAGCACCCCCCCAATGCCCGTGTTACTAGCATCAGTATCCAGCAAGAAGGGTGTCGTAAAATCAGGGTAACATAAGGGCGGGGCACCCACAAAGGCGTCCCGAAGGGAGCAGAACGCGGCCTCCTCCTCTGGCCCCCATCGAAACCTGACCCCCTTGGCTGTCAAAGCATGCAAGGGTTTGGCAATGGTGGCGAAATGCTCAACGAATCGGCGGTAGTAGGAAGCAAATCCAATGAAACTGCGGACCTCAGAAACCGGCGTGGGCGTTGGCCATGAACTGACACAGTTCGTCTTCGCGGGATCGGTGGAGATCCCCGAAGAGTCGACAACGTGGCCTAAGTACCTTACGGATTTCCGAAACAGGTGGCATTTAGCCGGTTTAAACTTCAACTTAGCCGATCGCATCCACAAGAACACCCCCCTCAATCGCTGGAGGTGTTCCTCGAAGGTTCTACTGAAAACAATGACATCGTCAAGGAAAATCAAGCAAGTATCCCATTGCAGACCCGACAAAACCAATTCCATAAGGCGCTGAAACATCGCGGGAGCGGAATGGAGTCCCATGGGCAAGCGATTAAACTGGAACAGGCCCCCTGGGGTCCGGAATGCGGTCTTAGGTTTAGACTCATCGTCGAGTGGTAGTTGCCAGAATCTCGACAGTAAGTCAAGTGTAGAAAATACCGCGCCCCGGATAATGCGTCCAGAGACTCATCCATTCTGGGGAGCGGATACGCGTCAGCCACGGAGATCTTATTAAGGCGACGGAAATCCACACAAAAACGCAAGGACCCGTCTTGCTTCTTAACCAGAACAATAGGTGCTCCCCACGGACTGGATGAGGGTGAAATGATGTCGGCAGTCAGCATGTCATTGACGGCCGATTGGACGTGGTCCTTCTCGGCAGGACTCAGCCGGAAAGGATTCTGCCGGACTGGTGCCGCATCACCTGTTTCAATGTGGTGGCTTAACAGGTCCGTGCACCCAATATCATATTTGTGCTTGCTGAACACATCGGAGAATTCGATCAGCAGAGTGCGCAGCGCACCCAATTGCACCCTTGACAAATCACTGGAGCCCGCACACAGCGAGTCCACCCATTCAAGGTCCTCACCCGATAGAATTTTCTGCGCCGGGACGGGATCAACATGCGCAATAAGCCGCTCTTCCACAGGGACCCGTGCCGCGTAAGCAAGCACGGTGCCCTGCGGAATAACAGCCGGCCGCGAACCAGCATTTAAAACCATAACGAACGGGTCCCCGTCAGCCCGAACCAACGTTTGAGCCACCCCCAAATCCAGACCCCCGACAGCTCTATTCGACGGACCCAAAAGCACGCCTTGTCCCGCAGTCTCCCCACCCAATGGCTTCCGCAACCGGAGGGGTACCAACATCTGCGAACCTGGGGGCACGTGCACCGTATGGGTCGCTAGCGCTTGGATCGTCGCACACGCCGTCCGTATTTCAGTAGGGTTAGATAAAAAGGAAATACGGCGACCCGATGGCAGCTCAATACAACGTTGATAAACCAGAATTTTAATGGGCATCTTAGCCAAAAAGTCGGTACCCAACAGACAAGGAACCGCTAGGGAAGAGGAGACCAAAACAGGTCCCGCCAATTTAATATTCCCTATGCAAATGCTCGCTCGAATCTGACCTATAATGCCCAACAAGCCCCCATTTGCCGCGTAACATGGCACGTCCACCGGGAGCAGAGGTCGACATTGGACGGGGAGAATGTTATAAATGAGATCGGAAATTATAGTCGCTGACGCTCCCGTGTCCACCAACACTAACTGATTACTAATGTAGCATAATCACAATAAAACACATTCCAAATGATTACTAATCTACAACTCGCATCGTAACAATAGCCTGATTACTAATCTAGTATATAATTACAATCACTCCCCCCTTGAATCTTTGCACCTGATGAGTTGATGAGTTAATGATGACGTCACCCTGCTGCTGCTCTATATAAGAACGGGAGACAGCAGAGCCTCACCATTCTGGCGAATTGCCCGATGATGCTGGTTGCAATTACCAGCGAAACGTCGTACTCAAATTGTAAATGTTGTGGCTTCAACACACCGGTGGGCTAAAGCAGTGAACTATTTGTCTTTGTCAACGTGACACATTTTTACTGATTGGCCGTGTCGGGTGGTGGAGGGTTACGACACATTTATAAATAACGCGATCCAAACCCAAAAATCGTTGATTATGAATCCTGACCTCGATACCGTCTATAAATCCCGTAACGACAGACGAGCCGGCCGACGCAGCCACTATTCTGTGGCCCAACTCGGACCACTTAATTTCCCCTTGGCCCCGTACGAACCCCCCTTTCCGAACCGAATCCCCGGCCCCCAATCGCACATCCTCCGCCGCAAAGCGGTGGCCCATGTGTGTCGTGTATGTAGGCCGAGCATGTGAAGTGCCGCGACTTGCCGGGGGTAGTTGGGACGACTTGGGGCATTGGTCGTCGTCCAGCCGAGGTCCCATGGCGCGCTGACGTGGAGCGCGGCACCCGGACGCCACGTGGCCCCGAAGGCCGCAGCTGTAGCACGTGACGAGGGACGTCGGAGGTCTCGGTTGCTCCAGCTTGCGGGTCGATCGCAGAGGCGAACGACCCCCTGACCTCCAATCCCCTGGTCGTGCTGCAGCGAACGCCTCCTCCCGTGGGCGAATGACTTGGGGCTCGGCGTCCACCGGGGCCGGAGCTGAGACCGCGGCAGAAGCGCAGACGACCACTTGTTTCCGCTTCAGGTCCTCGTGCGCCTGGATGCTCGTCGCCACCCGCAACGAACATATGTCCACCTCGTCGGCTGTGTTGATGGGGACCCCCAGGTCCTGAGTCAACTTCAGCGGTTGTTCCAAAACCATAGCGTCCTGCCCCTCCTCGTCCATACGAGGGAACGTGGCGTCCGCGAGAGCCAACAACGCCGTGCGGTAGGCGAGCGTGGTCTCCGTGTCCGCCTTCCATCGCTCGTAAAATTGTGGCGGCAGGCCGAAGGTGGTCCGTACACTTTGGCCATGAGGCCCAGCGCGGCCTTGAGCGTGGAGCGGGCCGATCTCGGGGCGGACCTGAAGGCCGTGAGCGCGTTGTCGTCCAGCATCGCAGGCAGTGCCCGCAGCGCCGTAGCGTTGGACCAGGCCGACATCTCTTGATGGGCGAGAAATCTTCGCTGGAATGCGCCCCAGTCACCCCCTTCCGCCTTGAAAGCCGTCAACATGGGAAGACGCTGCTGGAAAATAATGTCGTCCTCCGCCTCGTGTTTTTCCCGCGCTGCACCGTCGATAGGAGAAATGGCGGCCCCTGTGACGGGTGTCTGATGGCGGCCCGTAGCGCACACTGATGACGTGAGCGGCAGAGATTGGAGGACCTCCCCCACGTGTTACTCGCGATTCCCGCCAATGGACGGCCGCTCGGTAGAAATGGCGGGATTTTCAAAGTCATTCGTGTGAAGCACATTTTGGCGGGAATCAGCAACGTGACTCCTCTCGATATCCATCGACGTTCTCCCTCCTCCAGACGTGGTGATCTCCGCTAGGATGGATGCCGCGGCGAGTAGCAGCTCTGCCAGGCGGGAGTGCGCGTCGTGGAGTCCAACATCGGACCCCAGCTGCTCGTTCGGCGCCCATGAGGGGTCAAGTGGCGCCGGCATCTCCTCCTCTTCTCCCCCCGATTCCTGCTGGCCCGAGTCGTCGTGGTTTTCCTCCCGGTCACGCTCGTGAGTCCAATGAGTCTTCCTGGTATCCATGGCTGGAAGACTGTTTCACTTCTGACGCCAGTTGTAATATCGTAAATTACGGCGGGAGACCACTTGATGGGTAGCACACTTTATTAACACTTTTCCTTGCCACAATAATACGTGTGGTCACTACAGCTCACGCTACACGTTCCACCCGGCTACACACACACGGGCTCTCCAGCCCCGTAGCTTCCAGGGGAACTTACAGACCCACCCCAGCTTGGGTATGGATCACGACCACTGGGTCCCGCAGCCCGGCCCTCACACGGATGTCCGGCCGCGGGTCCCTAGGTCCCGCCTCTGAGCCACACAGGGTCCCGGCCCTTACAAGGACAGCGGGACTAGGGGTCTCAGGGCCCTATCTCTTCCTCCTCCGTCTTCCGTCTTCACTGGTTACCAACTCCCCGAGCGCCCGCGCGCATCGCCTTTTATAGTCCTCCGCTCCCGAGGGGACGGAGCCTATGCAGACCTCGATGTGAGCACCCACTCTAGTTGACCAATCACCACTCGCTGCCACACGATCCCTTTTTCCCTGTGCGTGTCACCACCACATAACCAATCACCCCGCGCTGCCACACGATCCCTCACTGTCAGCGCGCATCACCAATACACAGCCAATCACCACGCGCTGCCACACGATCCCTACTGCCAGCGCGTATCACCACTACATATATATCGGGTCTTGAAAATGTATGCTAATTTATGGAATTATTTCTAGATTTGAAGTTTTCGTGACTGCAAGGATCCATACTTTTTGGTTTTTCGGTAAAGTCACGTAGGTAAAGAATAAAATAAAATAAATGTAAATGAAAACGAAATGAAATCACGTTTCGGAAGCAACACAAGCCTCCGTCTTCAGGTGGAACCGCCACAGCAAAATTACTGTAATTTTACTGTCGTGATTTTATTTAGTTCTTTTCCTTTTTTATGCAATTCGGCAGATTATTTATGCTAATTGGGAAGGTGTAATTGTATAAAGTTATTCAAGTGTATGAGATTATGCTAATGTAAGTATGATGATTAAGCTCGGCTTCGTTGTCTAGGGTTGTATTATCAATCAGGATAACACAATGATTCTCACTTTAACTTTTACTGGTTGTGTCTTAGTGTGTTTATGTGAGGTCTCAAAATTCAGATCTCTCCGCAGGATACAGTTCTTATAATTAAGATTATTACGCATGAACTTAGGAAGGCACCACTCAGACACTTCTGTGTTAAGCAACTTTAATCTCTAAACAAAAACATAACACTCTAATATACGACCTCTTATGCTTGGAATGTCAACACAGTATTCCTCGAGATGTCCTCCTCATTGATCCATACATTTAACCCTCAATGATTACGTTTGTTAAACTGAGTAGCAGAACAATCGGTTAATTCCTCAGAGTAAAGCGCGCATACACGGCGATGGGAAAAAGTCTTTACAAATTAAAATGACAATATTCATACGAACAGCAATAAAGAAACATGTCCCGAAAGCAAAAGTAGACCTCAATGAACTCGTTGGTAAGATTATGCAATTAACAAAATATCTTGGAACAATGGTGTGCGGCAGTGTGCCTGCTTGTGTAGCGAATGCTTATCAATTGGCTAAGGCTTCAATAAATTTGCAGACAAGATTACGTGATCAAAAGAAAGATTTTAACACAATAGTCTCCCTGTGAATGTGTAGATTCTTAACATATGTTTCTAAATGTTTAGTTTCATCAATGAATTCATTGGTACAGTTATGCAATTAACAAAAAGAATGACTAAAATACTTTTAAACGACCATATCCACATCATCATTGGACCTGCTTTGCCAGTAGCAAAATATAATAAGAGGGTTTTTCCCCTTTTTTATGGCAACAAAACTGAAACCTTTTTTACGAGGATTCATGTCTGCATTAACAACAATGCTTAGTCAAAATGCAAACAAAAACACACACTCTGATAGTATATGCATTGTCCTTGAAACTCATTGTTCCACACCAGAGACAGCTTTCCTTAGAACCTAGTCTCAATTGGTGCTAGACTAGATGACGCCGAAAGGCATACAGCTCAAAGATAATGCACTATCAAAGTAATGATGGCTCGGGGTAAGCATCTAACATCATTGGACCTCCTTTGCCAGTACCAAAATATAATAATAGGGTTTGTCCCCTTTCCCCATATCCACGTAACTCAATGGGCAGCAATGCTTTTCATGATCAGCTATTAGTTGACGCACCATCTTAGGATGTCCACCCTTTTTTGAAACACAGAGAGAACTTTGGAGACTCTTATTAGTCCCAATATGTTCGTTATGTGTGTGTGGGTGGATTGTCTCTTTGCTCAACTGTTTGCGTTAAGCAGACATCGAGGTTGTGGCTTTCTTGTACTAAAAATTCGTTTGTTCCCTGCTGTGCAATGAGCCATGTGTGTTTGTGTGCGTGTCATACACACGGCGCTCTCGCTCTCGGCGTCAGCTGCTTGTCCACTTCTGGATGAGCTGAGTCGGCAGGTCGCTGGGGCTGGCACTCTTGCTCGGTGCTCTCTGGCGATGCACGATTCTCTCACAGCTCGTTCGCTGATGGCAGACACCCTTGCTCGGTGGAGCTGGTTGCACTTGGTTGCGCGCTCTCTCCTGCTCCGTGCTCTCTGGCGGTGCATGATTGCGCTTGTAGCTCGTCCGCTGCGGCTGGTCCTCTGCGATGCTCGCTTGGTCGATGCTTGGCGATTTCCGCCCTTTCTCCAGGTTGATTGCTTGTCGTTGCTCGTCACTCTTTCTCTCTCTCTTTCTCTCTCTTGCTCTCTTCTTGATCATGCAGCTGCCAGCTTCACACGGACACCCGCCCTTACTTCAGGGCTGCGCTGGTTATGCTCTCAATGGTGAAATGAACAGTAAAAAAGGAAAAACAAAAGACGAACTCCGCGACTGGTCACTTCTGTCGATGCAGCTCCCTATAGATGTGCCTGTCACGGGGGTAGATTCCTGGAGCCTGCTGCTCGCAGTACTCAATTGTGTGTTTTGTCTCTGTTAATTTCTGAAATTCTCTCCCCTCGGCTCACCTTCTCACAAAGGACCGGACTTCCTTTGATTTCGTTCTTCGCTGTGGGGGCAGTTGTTTGTCCGGTGTACGTGTGTGTGTATGTTCTGACTTATTAAGCAATCTGTTAAGTCTCACCCTAAAGCCTGGTTCCTGTCCCCCTCCTCAAGCCACCTTTTCATCAGTGGAAAACAGATGCTCCAAATTGCTCCTAGGTGTTTTCCTAGTTTTGTTTCAACTTCTGTAATAATTAATCTGGAAAGAGGGAGGGGTTCCTTTTGCCCGGTTGCATTCTTCCCCCCCCCCCCCCCCCCCGTGGCTGGGTGTTACATTTTTGTCTCTCTCAAAGAGGGGCACAGTCTCTGCCTTTGTGATTTTATTTTTACCACGTGCTTCTGGAAGGCAAAGGCGGTTGGGGAGGCTTTCTCTATGGAATACATTTTATCTTGGTCATGTGTGATTGACCTATTTCGCCTTGTATCTCTTCTGGATGACATCCGGTCTAATACTTCATAATTATTATTTGGTTTGTTTCCCAAGATTTGTGATTTATCATCGTTATTACCACGTATATTCCTAGGGTTTTATTAACATTTGTTACCCGTCTGTATCCAGGGATCCGTGTAGTTTATACTTGAGTTAGATTTTGATATCCTGAGGTTGGAGATGTAACTAAGTTTTCACTTAAGCTTTCTTGACTGCTGGAATTCATATTCCTTGGTTCTTTTGGTAAAGTCACGTAGATAGCAAGATGCAATAAAAAACAATGTGAGGTGAATGAGAGTAAAATAAGGTAAGTAATAATGAAAGGCCACCAATGTGGACTGCAGTCTGGTTTTCAATCTGGGTGAGTGTGTTGGCAGACTATGATGTCGACTTATTCTTGTTGCTAAGTTCCGAACTTTTATTGTTGTATCAAAATAAACTAAAAAACTATTTTAAAAAACAGTTGCCTTTTGTCCTCGTGGAGCCTGTTGTCTGTACGCTTTTGAGGCGGCCTTTGAAGCCGTGTAGAGATTTCCCCAGAATCTCATTAGCAACTCCCCCCCTTCTCCTCTTTTTTTTTGCTTTTTTTTAATGACCTTTTATGGCTACTTCCTTGCCTGGTCATGAGTGTGAAAGGCAGCTGCTGTTTGAGGGGAGGGGATTCGCATCACCCCCTTTTTGCCCCAAGCGACACCGCGAATGATTATTATAAAATAAATATTGGCAGAATTATTCTTAACATCAATTTTGGAAAAAGGCCTATATATATACACAACATTCCCGCGCCGGCCTGCAGTTCCCCATGGGCTGCGTTCACAGGCTGCTCGGCAAGGGCAATTATGCCCAGCGTGCTGGCGCTGGAGCACCCGTCTACCTGACCACCGTGCTCGAGTACCTCTTTGCCGAGATCCTTGAGCTGGCTGGCAATGCCGCCCACGACAACAAGAAAACGAGGATCATCCCCCGACACCTGCAGCTCGCCGTGCGCAACGACGAAGAGCTCTACAAGCTCATGGGCGATGTGACCATCGCCCAGGGTGGTGTGCTGCCCAAGACCTCTCAGCCCAAGAAGTGAACGCGCCGCTGCCTCTACCACCACAACAACAGCTCTTTTTAGAGCCACCCACTTGCTTGCAAAGAGCTCGGACAGTCGTACACAGGGGTCGTGTTATTAATAAGGACACAATCGCCTAGTGGCCGTCCCAAATTGCTCGCAATTAAACGAATGCTCTGCTCATTCCAGATACCCCTTTTCTCTAATTTAGGAACGGTGTTTGAGCAGCATTCCAACATTGCATCAATCATAAAACATGGTTTAGAATAAATTGAGGGCATTAGTATTGGAAGAAAGTTGTGTTTTTAAGAAAAAAAAACGTTCTTTTTGAGCGGTCAGATTACATAGGCTATATTCTTAGGTTTTTTCGGTAAAGTCACGTAGGTAAAACATAAAAATTAATAAAAATAAAATAAAGATCACGACGTTTCGGAGGCAACACAAGTCTCCGTTATCAGGTGGGACCGTCACAGCCAGATTAGCTGCATCAAGTGAGGCAATGATTCAAGATGTAATCCCTTAAAAGCGAGTTGAGGGGGGAGGAGAGGGGGGGGAGCTCATCAGAATGTGGTAGCCAATGAATGGAACGTATCGGGAGGGAGGGGGCGGGGCAAAAGGGTGGGCGACGGCGTGGAAGCGATTGTGCGCAAGAGACAAACTGCTGCACACGCCAACGCATTGGACAGAGAGGGGGGGATGGGGAGGCCTGATACACATGATACAAAAGAACGGAACTGCCATTGTATGGCAGTCCCTTTTAATTTATGAATATTCATAATTTGTCTGCATTGAGAAATTCCAAAACAATTACAGTTAGAATTGCTATTTTAATCCTTTGGTGTATTCCCTTTCGTAAAAGGGAATACAATGAATAATTTACTACAGTACTGAGTTATAATGAATAATTCACACGTGGCATGAGGATTTTTTTTGCATCGTTATGAACATCTTGGTACATTTCTCGCCTTCACACAAATAAATTCCATCAACAGATTGCTTGCGTACTCCTTGAAAGGATTTCCATTTGGAGTGAAATATTAATTAATTGGCATTGCATGCATGTGCATTCGAATAGAATTCAATTCATGCTGCGGAAAACTATCCTGCACTCCTAGAATTTCAAGTCGTACGGTGCATTAAAGGTAAGTTTTTTTTGTTTACCAATCGACTGCGACAGAGTCGCAGGAGCTCAATGTGGTTGCTGATGATTGTTCGCTGCTCCTCGACCCTGTTCAAGGCGCGTGGTGATGCAGTTCAGGTGTGAGTATTTGTGGAGATTGTTTACGTTACGCACATTAAAGAAATGGTCCTTACGATTATTTACCAACTAGATGTGTTTAGCCATGAATGTTATGGGAATAATCGAGCCCGAAGGCAGGGCTGATTAACACAGCCAGTCGGGAGGCGGCTCATTCACTAGACTTGAGCGCTGGGTGATCTCAGCGACGTCCACGTTCTGTCTGTCGATTCTAAAGTAAATCCACAATTTCAAAATCCAGACATTCTTGAAGAATCTCACCATTTCCATTTTTTGTTGCGCCTCTTCATTGCATCATCATCATGTTGCACGCGCAAAATATGGTCTTTATTCAAAATATCAATTAATTCCAGACAGTTTTACTTAATTTTCCACCCATCGATTGATGCGCTCTTCACTCATTGCCTTGAGAACTTTAAAAATGAATAACAATTGTCATTTAACGATTATGTTTGAAGCGTTTGATGTATGAGTGTTACGTGTGTTTGCAGAGGGTTGAAATGTCACCAAACATAATCAGTCCTTTGCAAATAAACACGACCTTTGGTATATGCTGAGTGTACTCGAAACCCAGCCAATGATTCGGTTTAAATTAACGATTTCTCTGCCTTGTGAAATTCCAAAACAATTCAAAACGTGACAAAAACGTCGTGTGAGGGAATGAGTTGTGTTGCACGTTTTTGAATGTCTCAATATACATGTATCATCTTATATATAAACTAGCAGAAGTACCCAGCGTTGCCCGGGTGCAAAATATATTTCTTAATAACCTTACATATATACACAGATACTAAGGTATTGTCAAAGCCCGGTGGGCTTTGACAATACCTCACCACTCACCCTCCCCACTCACCACTCACCACTCACCCTTCCTACTCACCACTCAACCTCACCACTGACCACTCACCCTTACCCTCACCACTCACTCTCACCACTCACCCTTACTATTCACCACACACCCTCACCACTCACCCTCAACATCAACACTCACCCTCACCACTCACCATCATCACAAATCCTAACCACTCACCCTCACCACTCACCCTCACCACTCACTCTCACCACACCCTCAGCACTCACCCTCACCACACACCCTCACCACTTAACCTTCACCACTCAACCTCACCACTCACCCTCCCCACTCACCACTCACCCTTCCTACTCACCACTCAACCTCACCACTCACCCTCCCCACTCACCCTTCCTACTCACCACTCAACCTCACCACTGACCACTCACCCTTACCCTCACCACTCACTCTCACCACTCACCCTTACTATTCACCACACACCCTCACCACTCACCCTCAACATCAACACTCACCCTCACCACTCACCATCATCACAAATCCTAACCACTCACCCTCACCACTCACCCTCACCACTCACTCTCACCACACCCTCAGCACTCACTCTCACCACACACCCTCACCACTTAACCTCACCACTCAACCTCACCACTCACCCTCCCCACTCACCACTCACCCTTCCTACTCACCACTCACCCTCACCACTCACCCTTCCTACTCACCACTCAACCTGACCACTGACCACTCACCACTCACCCTTACCCTCACCACTCACTCTCACCACTCACCCTTACTATTCACCACACACCCTCACCACTCACCCTCAACACTCACCCTCACCACTCACCATCATCACAAATCCTAACCACTCACCCTCACCACTCACTCTCACCACACCCTCAGCACTCACTCTCCCCACTCACCCTCACCACACACCCTCACCACTTAACCTCACCACTCAACCTCACCACTCACCCTCACCATTCACCCTCAACACTCACCGTCACCACTCACTCTCACCACTAACCCTCACCACTTAACCTCACCACTCAACCTCACCACTCACCCTCACCATTCACCCTCAACACTCACCCTCACCCCTCTCCCTCAACACTCACCGTCACCACTCACTCTCACCACTAACCCTCACCACTCACTCTCACCATTCACCCTGACCATTCAGCCTCACCACTCACTCTCACCATTCACCCTGACCATTCAGCCTCACCACTCACCACTCACCCTCACCACTCACCCTCTCCCTCACCACTCACGCTTACCACTCACCCTCACCACCACCACTCACCCTCACCACTCACGCTCACCACTCACTCTCATCCCTCTCCACTCACCCTCACCACTCACCCTCACTACTCACTAATCACCCTCACCACTCACCCTCACTACTCACTCATCACCCTCACCACTCACCACTCATCCTCACTACTTACTACTCACCTTCACCACTCACCTTCACCACTGACCCTCACCACTCACCCTCACCACTCACCCTCACCACTCATCCCCACCACTCACCCTGAACCACTCACCCTCACTACTCACCATCACCACTTACCCTCACCACTTACCCTCACCACTCACCATTCACCACTCACCCTCACCACTCACCCTCACCACTCACCATCACCATAAACCCTAACCACTCACCCTCACCACTAACCCTCACCACTCACCCTTACTAGTCACCACTCAACGTCACCACTCTTCGTCACCACTCACCCTCACCACTCACCCCTCACCATCACCACTCACCATCACCACTCACGCTCACCACTCAACCTGACCAGTCACCCTCACCACTCACACTCACCACTAACCCTGACCCCTCACCACTGACCACTCACCCTCCCAACTCACCCTTCCTACTCACCACTCAACCTCACCACTCACCCTCACCACCCACCACTCACCCTCACCACTCACCCTCCCCACTCACCACTCACCCTTCCTACTCACCACTCAACCTCACCACTGACCACTCACCCTTACCCTCACCACTCACTCTCACCACTCACCCTTACTACTCACCACTCAACGTCACCACTCTTCGTCACCACTCACCCTCACCACTCACCCCTCACCATCACCACTCACCATCACCACTCACCCTCACTACTCACCATCACCACTCACGCTCACCACTCACCCTCACCACTCACGCTCACCACTCACGCTCACCACTCACCGCTCACCCTCACCACTCACCCTCACCACTCAACCTCACCACTAACCCTCACCCCTGACCACTCACCCTCACCACTCACCCTCCCCACTCACCACTCACCCTTCCTACTCGCCACTCACCCTCACCACCCACCACTCACCCTCACCACTCACCCTCCCCACTCACCACTCACCCTTCCTACTCACCACTCAACCTCACCACTCACCCTCCCCACTCACCACTCACCCTTCCTACTCACCACTCAACCTCACCACTCACCCTCCCCACTCACCACTCACCCTTCCTACTCACCACTCAACCTCACCACTCACCCTCACCACTCACCCTTACCCTCACCACTCACTCTCACCACTCACCCTTACTATTCACCACACACCCTCACCACTCACCCTCAACATCAACACTCACCCTCACCACTCACCATCATCACAAATCCTAACCACTCACCCTCACCACTCACCCTCACCACTCACTCTCACCACACCCTCAGCACTCACCCTCCCCACTCACCCTCAACACACACCCTCACCACTTAACCTCACCACTCAACCTCACCACTCACCCTCACCACCCACCACTCACCCTCACTACTCACCCTTCCTACTCACCACTCAACCTCACCACTGACCACTCACCACTCACTCTCACCACTCACCCTTACTATTCACCACACACCCTCACCACTCACCCTCAACATCAACACTCACCCTCACCACTCACCATCATCACAAATCCTAACCACTCACCCT